AAGCAATGATGTCATACGATCTTTGGAGAAAGAGCCAACAATGTCACATCCTTAGGCCAAAAATGTATTGTACGAAAGACGTCCTGACGTGGCACGCGTACAATTAGAGAAGATACGGTGCTCAATAATTTCCTTTATAATTGCACTTTTTAGACATGTCGCTCTCCCATGGTGCACGTGAAAAACGTTCCATCTTTTATTATTATTATTATTATTAAAATATGAGCTAATTTCATCGATTGACTTTTCATCTAAATTTGTATCCTCCCCGTCGTCCAGTCAAGGGAAAATTTGAAAAATCTCTCGTAGTTGGTAGATTTCAAATATTATTTGCTAAAAAAAAGTATGACTAGTAACTTGATTATCAGGGACTCGTTAATAACTTACCAACATTATTGGGAATTTACTTACTTCCAAATAAATTAGTATATTAAACAACTCTTCCGAAAATTTACAAGCGCCATAAGTAAATTATCAACACTATAATAAACATATCAAGATTACAGTAGCTTAAACAATTTATCAACTTCTTTGAATTGTTACCTTCACATCGTTATGGTCTAAAATTTATACCCGACTCCCGTTTTTCTTGCGGATGAAACTACGATATTCAGTGACAATAGTGTTCCAACCTCGAATGGACCAATAGGCTCATCATTATCATGGCCATGAGGCACGTGAGTCTTCCTCTGATACCAGGGACATGCTGTGATTTTGGCATTTTTAGTAGCCAATTCCACAAGTTTTCTCCAGCTGGGGTGATCCAGAAACGTGGCCACAGATATATTACGGTCGAATGTGCCTTTGCTGAAAAGTTTCTAATCGAATAGCTGACATCACGGATCCATTGAATGGCTGATATGAAAACACTTGAATCGGACGGCTGACAAAGTTGTCATGCGCAAAACCACAAGGGATTGCGGAAATGGCCTTAACTCCACTTTTTTTCTTGGTATCCGGCAGCACATTCTACGTGTTTTCTTTCGGCATGGTTTCTTTCCATAATATTCTCCTGGTCCGGAACATAGCGTAAAGGTTAAACAAAGAAAGGAAGAAGACAAAAAAATAAAATAAAAGGAGTGGAACTCCATCAAAATATAAGAAGTGGAGTAAATAAACAAATAACGGGCAACTAATGAAAATCGCACAATTTTTATGAGAAGTTATAATCCAGGAATTTTTTTTGTCTAAATCCCAGTCCAGCAAGGCAAATGGTTGCGAAACCCTACTTCCTCACTTACGCATCCCCACCCCTAGGATCATGCTTGCGAGACAGTGATCTTCAATCCCTAGGCTCGGCGGCTCTTGATGGGTTACGACTCAACTAATCAAGTCATTGAATTCAAAATCCTAAAGACTAAACACATTTCTAGTAATCCAGTGAGACATTGTATTCTTCCTTTGTGGTCACATAAAAAAAGTCGTACTTGAATTTTTGCCAGGTTCTGATTGTCAAATATTTAATGGTTTCAATTAGTAATCATTGTCAATCGAGAATGATCGATGGCCAATTAAATCGTAAAATATGACTTCGAATAAAAGTAAATGGATTTTAATATGCTTTGAAACCTCAAAAGCTTTGCAAAATTTGAATTACTAAATAATGCGCAAATGGTAGAATGGAGATAATTAAGAATTTACGTGTAAAATTTCATTGAATTAGAACATATGGCTTATATTCTTGGAGGTTATGTTTGTTCGATGACCGGAGTTGAACCTAAATTGCTAATGAAGATGATTGGAGTGCGTAGACAAAGTAAAAAACTTACAAAACACGACTGGGAAGCTTTTATAAACCAAGATGATCACAGAAATTAGAGAACCTAATATAATCCAAAATTCAAATTTAGAGTGGCTCGTGCCCTAAATTGTTGGTGGTGGATGAATTGACAGAAACCTGACCAGTGACTAGGCATCTACCATTCAAAACGGGGATTTGTTTTGGAAAAACCCTAACTTATTACGTGGAGTGCCAATTTGGTGTCACAGACTCAATTAAATATCTCTATCTTCTTAAAGAATTGAAACAATTGAGGATAGTCAATTTGATGTATCATATTATATCAATATGTTACATGAAGTAGGAGCTAGACTCTTTGGTTTGGTGTGGCCGAGATATCCTTGAGATTGAACCATTAATTTCAATTGGCTAGACACAGATTTCAATGAACGGACTTGGGGGATTTCAGAATGAGAACAACTTATGGATAGGAATCCAACAATTGCGATGCAATGTCACAACTTTCACAGTGCAAATCAAAGTAGCAATTCCATGATTCTGTAGTGTGGTAGTGGCCAAAAGTAGGGGTGAGCATGGTTCTACAGTAGAACCTGAAAAACCTGATAACCTGACCGATGGGAACCTGTAGGTTCTAGGTTCTAAAATATGCACGGTAGGTTCTAGGTTTCAAAAGTTAGGGAACCTGTTTCGACAGGTAAGTTCGAGGTTCCATATATACTTGTAACCTAGAACTTGAAACAAGTTTTTTTATCTTTTTTCTTGATTTATGTCTTCGTGTGATCCTGTAGTGTATAGTCTGGAATCATTAATCTGAGCTTTCATTTTATGACTTGTTGATGTTTCATACGGTCAGTGGATCATACCAATAAATGGTGGTCATTAAATGTGATAATTCACTGTAATTGTTCAATTAATAATACATGTGGAATCTCGATAGACCCTGGAACCTATGACATGGTAGGTTTCAGGTTTCAAGGTATGTACGGTAGGTTCAAAGTTTCAAAAAATAAGGAACCTGTTCTCATGGGTTCCAGGTTCCACTTGGAACCTGTACGGAACCTGGAACTGCTCACTCCTAATCAAAAGTCTCCCAGTGAAAACAAAAAAACAAAAAAAGGCAAAGAGAATGATCTTCCCCATGTCATTCGAGTCGTAAAAATCTAACGATGATGAATACAAATATATATTATATACATTGGCACAATAAAATTTTTTTACACAAGAAGGTCTCAGGATGGTAATATAAATCTATTTATTGAATATAGTTATGTGCAAAAAATATAAATCGATTGTGTGTCATTATCTAAAATCTGCTTGCGCGAAGATAATTTTCACCACCTTTGACATAATAAAAATCCGTTGAAATAGTATTAATGTTACATACACTCTCGATGTCAGAGTCTTTTCTGCACAAGCAGTCTTAAAATGGAAAATCCTGTTTATTGAACAAACCTAATAAAAATAAAAATCGTACGTTTCATTCTATAAAATCTGCTTATATAAAGAAATTTTAAAACTGCAAGTGCACCGAATGAAAGTCCATTGAAATATGTAGTTTGCAAAGCGGGGGATGATGGAAGAAAAGAAAAAAAAATTGATTATGTGAAACTACACTTGTATCTTTTTTTAGTAATTTTTCCAAATTTACACTTTTGGAAAAAAAAGAAATTTACTTAAAATTTCTTATGTCATAAAATTTGGAAATGAAGTCGTCATTCATTAAAAAGAGAAGATCCACGGCAACACAAATTGACTTCGACTTCTAGTCTTCATCCACCTAAAATTACTTCTCTGCTTTAGATTCGAAAAGAGGCAAGAGTGTCACGTCCTTCTGGTGAGGAACTTTGGCAGCATTCTCCCGCTTCAATGACATCTTCTGTCGGCCATTTAGCTAGTCACATCGTACCTATCTGTAAAGCATTCTACAAATGCTCACTATGATTGGACGATGTAAAAGTTTGGAATATCCTCAATCTACACTATATAAGATAAAATTCTGCCAAAAGTAGAATATAGAGTTGACTAATAGTCAATTGCCATATACAAATGATCTTCTGAATCTCTTTTCTATCTCTTCTCTTGCGTGGCATGAATACAATTTGAGAAGAGTCCTCAATAATTTCATATATGATTTCACACTTTCAAATTTGCTCATGTCTCACGGTGCAGGTGAAAAACGTTCCCTCTTTGGTTTTACTAATTCCACTATTTAACTTTCCATCTAGATTTTTCCTCTTCATTTTCCTTATTTTTTCAAAGATGAAATGAATTTCATATTTAGTTAATTATTCTTTTTTTAGGAAAAGTTCCGATAAGCTTTTGAGAATACCCACATTAAGCTAAATGTATTTAAAAAAGTTTAATTAATTGAGGATAACGATGTTCTCATTTTATGAGGTGAAGTTAAATATATCAATATATCACTTTTATAAGAAGGACACATTAGTGCAATACATACTCAAATTATGATTGGAAGACCTTTTGAGTTGGCGATCAAAAATAAAAAATAAAGAAAAGAGAGGTGAAAAGAATGATTTTCCATATTGTTCAGAAAGTATGGACCTAATGGCAGTTAAATAAAAAAAATTATAGATATATATTACCTACATCATGATCGTAAAAGTTTCTTTTTAACATAAACATTCTTAGAATGGAAATATAAACTTGTCCATGGAATAGAGTTACATGCAAAATAAGTATTTTCATGTGTCATTATCCAAAACCTCCTTATGTGAAGAAAATGTACACCGCCATTATACAGAATAAAGCCTGTTGAAATATAGAGTACAGATCTTTTTTTTTTTTACACAAACAGTCTTAGAATGGAGATATAAACCTGTTTATGTTCGATAAAAAAAAAACCTGTTTATGGAATAAATCTACACGCAAAAAACAAAATTGTATATGTGTAATTCTATAAAACCTGCTTATGCAAAGAAAATTTTATACCGTTAGTGCACTTGGAAAAAAAATCCTTAGAAATATGTTGTTTGCAAATCAGGGGATGGTGGAAGAAAAGAAAAAAGTAATGATGTGACACTTGTATTTTTTTTAAAGTAAAATTTCCAAATTTACACTTTTGCGAATAAACTGAATTTCCATTAAAATTTTTATCTCATAAAAATTTTAAATGAAGTCGTCATTCAGGAAAAGATAATGGTACGTCATCATCTACAGCTGGAACTTTGTCTCCATCCACAAGTCGGTGTATAAAAGGACAAGATCCACATAGGATGGAGCTCAACTTCCACTTCAACAACGTAAAAAATACTTCTCTGCTTTAGATTTTTGCATGCTTGAGAGACGGAACGCCGAAGAATCCACCATGGATACCCAAGGCAGTTCGGTTGCGGAACCATTGGCAGGTTTGTTCTGATTCGATTTCACAAGTGTCAAAAAAGTCCTAAACCTTTTGCATTAATGCCAATTTAGTCCTAAACCTTTTTTTGATGTCAATTCAGTCTTAAACCTTTTACATTTGTGCCAATTTAGTCCTTCCGGCCAATTTCGATCGGAATTTGCCGACGTGGACGCCTGCCGGCCGGCGGCCGGTCACCGGTGTCGACGTTGACAACTTTAATAATATTTTAATATTTTTTAAAATTTTTATTTTTTTCCTTTTTTTTCTTTTTTTTCAACTTTTTTTTTTGTCTCAACCTCCTTCCTTTGGCCGGCGAACTCGACCTCGCCAACCACTGGCGAGGGCGGCCTCGCCGCGGCCTCCAACAAGGGCGAGCCTCGCCATGGTTGGGCGAGGCTCGACCTCGCTGCGGCCTCTGGCGAGGTCGAGCCTCGCCTGACCATGGCGAGGCTCACCCTCGCCGCGACCTCCGGCGAGGGCTCGAGCCTCGCCTTGGTCAGGCGAGGCTCGACCTCACCAGATCCGGCGGGGTCGAGCTCGCCGGCCTCTGGCCTCTGGCCGGTCGCTGGAGGAGGGAGAGACAAAAAAAAAAGTGGAAAAAAAAAGAAAAAAATCAAAAATCAAAAAAATATTAAAATATTATTAAAGTTGTCCACGTCGGCGCCGGTGACTGGCCGCCGGCCGGCAGGCGTCCACGTCGGCAAATTCCAGTCAAAATTGGCCGGAAGAACTAAATTTGCACAAAAACAAAAGGTTTAGGACTGAATTGGTATCAATTTAAAAGGTTTAAGACTAAATTGGCACTAAAAAAAGGTTTAGGACTAAATTGGCATCAATGCAAAAGGTTTAGGACTAAATTGGCACCAAAAAAAGGTTTAGGACTAAATTGGCACTAATGCAAAAAGTTTATGACTTTTTTGGCACTTTTCCCATGTTTTTTGTGTGTTAATTTCGAAGTAATATAGGCAATATCGTGGATAAACAATTTATGGAAAGTTACCGCATTTCTTTGTTTCATTGCTTAACAAGTCGAACCTAAGATAATTTGCGCGGAATCTAAGATAAAGTTCGGTCCTTAACTTTTCGATTGTTCCAATTCGGTCTTAAACTTTTGTGAAATTTCGATGTAATCGTTTCAACCAATTTTCACCCAGGATTGATGACGTGGCGGCGTACTAGGACAGCCAGCAATAACTAGACTGTCATATCAATAATTTCCGACAAAAAAAAGACCGGAATAACTATATTGAAAATTCGCACGAAGATTTAAGACTAAATTGAAATAATTGAAAAGTTTAGAACCGAATTAGCATCCGTACAAAAGGTTTAAAACTAATTTGGCAATTTTCTTCCCTTAATGATCAGTTTATTAAAATTAATTACTAGAAAATTTTTCTCTTATCAGAGAGTTTTGCCCAAACAATCACCTCTTAGGGACTAATTATTTCCAATCTTTACTTAAAATTCAAATTGAATTTGCAACTGATTGTCCACAATGCAATTTCATCAAGAGCTGAGGGCAAACCAATGGGTTTTGAATAGTCAATTACTTCTCATTAAGAAACAACACGAGACTAAACCTATGAAGACATGATCCTCGAACTAGTCAATTCACTTAGTATCTCCAAAATAGAAATGGTTGTCACTATTATGACAAAGTGTAAAGATAAAATTAAAAGAGAAAATTCACTAACGAACACATTCCTCTAGATACATGGATGGTGGCATGTTCTTGCCACAAAAGAAAAGAAACAAATAATATAGATTTTGTAAGAAAAATCAGATCAATTCTTTTTCCCAACCTTTAATTCAACTAATAAAGTTTAATCAATACACTTTATTTAATAAAAAATCCATGCAATGCATTGGTATGATAGTAGCAATAAATGTTATAAATTTATATCCTATATGAATTGTAACTTAAATAAATCGTATTAGTTGATGAAATATATAGCATTAAGTTAGTTCATTTAATTTTATTTATGTACAATTCTGTTATAATTATTACGTGAAATTGTGTATAGAAGTAGTTTATAATTATTCCATTAAATTTAATGTTAATTTTTTTTTTGTTTAGAATTTTACCATATAAGTTTAACACCAAAAATTCCATGCAATGAACGAGCCTCATACTAATCACGTTTAGATGATCTAAAGCATACAAAGTGCAATTTATTTTTCTAAGTTTACTTATGTTCCTTTCTCTCTTTGGTAACAAAGATGTCTGCGTAGACATGAGCTCTGAAGGCATGGCAATTGAGAAAGCTTTCCAAGATGGTCGCAAACCAACTTCAGTTGAAGACTACCAGGGGATCATGAATCAATCAAAAACTAAAGGTTTGTCATTTCGAACTTTTAACTTTTGTTTTTCATAAATCTTGGTTTTGCATGCATTTTGACTTCTTTAACTCCAAAACATTTTGAAAAAATAGTTTATGTTCATTTTTTTTTTTGGTAACAAAGAGGTTCTCATAGAAGCAAGTTCAGAAGGCCCGATAATTGATGAGGCTTCTCGAGATAGGGGCAGACCAACTTTGTTTGAAGTGTACATGACGATCACGAATCAATCAAAAGCTTCTCAAGATAGTGGCGGACCACTTGAAGGTTTGTGACTTCGAACTATTTTTTTTTTTTGTCAATCTTTTCTTATAATTTTTTAACTTTTTAAATCTGAACATTTTAAATGTCGCAGCATACAATGCTTACATTTCAATTCAAATATAATGTTTTCTTAATTTTCAATTATGAACAATATTTGGAATTATAATTGAGAAAGCCCAAAACAAAAAACTTTTCACATTCAAAGAGTAAATAAACGTGCTCATAGGAAGGTATGTTGAGTAAACAACAGCCCCTTCGCTTGCATCTGCGTTTCATCAAGAGCTTTGAGCAGGTGCAATTGTCACAGAAAGTGCGAAAGCCTGAGCACTTTTGATGTGCAATTCTTGCAGTTATGCCGATGCCAGTGGTCAATAAAAAATATGAAGATTTGTTTGTAGCCGCACAGAAAGGTGATTGGAAAACTATAGAGGACATCCTCAAGAAAGATCCCGAAGCAATGACAGCCGAAGTTTTGAAAGTAGAAGATGAATCAGTTACTGTGCTCAATATTGCAATTATGGCCTCACAAGATCAATTGGTCGAGAACCTGATCAAGCGCTTTCATCTGGGATATAAAAATTTCGATTTCAGTATTTCCCTCCAGAATGCTGCCATGAGAGGAAGAATAAAAATGGTAAAGGCATTAGTAAACAAAGTTGATGCTGAACTTGAAAGTGTACCCGATGCACTGTGGATTGCTACTCAATATGCTCCTAAGCAAAAGGACGTTATTTGGTATCTGGCCAAACGTAAAAAATCCGCCCCAATTTATGGCACCATGTCCAACCTTGTTATGGCCGGCCATTTGGGTAAGAAATTACACTCGCTCATCTCTTTTCCTTCACTGTTTACTTGGATTAACTTTTTGTTGTTGTGTCCCAAAAGACATAGCTTTGTATTTTGCTCAGCAATACCAACGATCAGTGTTACCTGACGAAAACAATAGCATTTTGGGATACTTGGCGAAGATGGAGTCTAACTTCCGTAGTGGAGCTAGACTCAATTTTTGGGAAAAATCTATTAATAAATGTAGGTACTTCTTGCACTTTTTTTTTTATCAGATGCACACAATCCGAGCAACTCCATCCACGAAGATAGTCTCTAATCACTCTATCTATTCCCAGTTATAGGTATCCTTTTAAACCTGGTCGATACATCATTTGACGAATCCAAAGGAACAAAGAAGCCTCGAGGTATTTCTGATAATCTGTTTAATGGATGGACTAATACGGCAAAAAGCATATCATTCAGGGATCCATTGACGAAAACGTTAAGGGACAAGGACTACATCTATCTACACAAATTAAAATCTAAAGCATGATGTATGTCACAAATTAATATCTAATGTAACATTTGTAAAGTTGGTCGAGCAATCTTACTCAACATCAAATTGCCAAGTAGAATTGTTGAGAATTGTAGAATTGGATCTCAGATCATAAAGGTTGATGGATCCAAGTTGTCTAGCATTGTTAAGCACTATTAAATTTGGTTATTGTCAAATATATCTTTTTGTTCATCATCAATTCCTAATTTGCTGACATGATGCTTGTCTCCTCTTATCAGCACCTAAGTGGTTCAAGATATCACTCTGGGATCTTGCCACAAAACCAGGTACACAAAACTGTAGTGGTATTTATAGAAGAAACACCTCATTTCATCCATGGGTAGAGATCCCTAAATTTAAAATTGTAAATTGATATTTTCAATATATCCCGATCGTATGTAGTAATATAGACTGGCTCTCAATTTATATATGGCAACGCAATTCAATAAGATTCAATTCTAAGTCTAAACGTTATATATCTATTTAGGGGAATTTATAAAAATAATCAATTGAAATCAGATATATTGATCCGTTGCTGAATCTACCAATTTTTCAAAAAAAAAAAAAAGAACTCTTAATTTGTCATGACATTGGGTGTCCATCGACAGATTCATCTGTTCTCTGACACGTGCATTTTGATTTCCAAGCCATATAAATTTTGCTTCATCGTTTGGAAAATTGCTTATGCGTAGGTGCAGCACTTTTGATCAATAGGATTGAATTGAGGCACAAATGCTCGCTTGAGTTTGCAGAGCTAGTTCTTACCAAGATGAAGAATGATATGAAAAAAATGGAAACTCCCGAAATACCTGAGCTTCTTCCCAGAATTGTCCTTGAGGCTGCATCTCGTGGAATCTCTGAAATTGTCAAGTTATGTTTCGAGTATTTTCCAGAGTTGACGTGGAATGAAAATTTCACAAAAAAACTGATAGAAGAAGTTGTGAACGGACGGCATGTGGAGTTGTTTAGACTAGTGAACTCAGCCAGCACAATTCCATTTTTGACTGCTGATACGATGACGAAACGCAACCTCATGAAGGCAGTAGTAGAATGGCCACCAAGATGTCTACCGACAGATGTTTCTGGAGCACCTTTTCTTATGCAAAGGGAACTCCAGTGGTTTAAGGTCGGTTCACCTTATTCGTTTGCCACTCAATTGTGCTTTTTAATTTACATTTACATTGATAGGCGTCCTTTATTTTTCTGAAGGTACTGGAAGATACAAGTGATTCCTCTTCTAAAAGTTCGAAACTTAAGGTTGGTTCACCTTATTTGTTTGCCACCCTTTTGTGCTTTTTTTATTTATATTTATATTGATAGGCATCCTTAATTTTTCAGAAGTTGCTGCAAGATACGATCCATCCTTCATTAAAAGGGCAGAGATTGCCAGATGATCAAAAACCATATTGGGATGATTTTGTCGAAAAACACAAACAATTGCTCAAAGAGGCAGGGCAATGGATGAAGGATACATCATCATCATGTAGCCTTGTCTCGACTCTCATCATTACAGTAGCTTTTGCTGCAATTTTTACTATACCGGGAGGCAACAAAGGAGAAACAGAGGGCTCGAGCCCGAGCCCGAGCCCGAGCCCGAGCCCTAGCCAGAGCCCGAGCTCGTGTCCGAGCTCGACGTTAGTAGGGATCCCGAACTTTCTGTGTAAGCACTCATTCATGGTATTCGCAGTTGCAGACGCTCTTGCTCTCTTCTCCTCTGTCACCGCCACCTTGATGTTCTTGGCTATCCTAACTTCACGCTATGCTGCAGAAGATTTCCTCATATCACTACCGAGAAAAATGATACTGGGCCTCACTTTTCTCTTCCTCTCCTTGGCCTTTATGTTGGTGGCATTCGGCTCTGCTTTTACCATCGTACTGAGCGAACGATTCGTCGAGAGCGATCGATTGATAGGGATTTACATTCCAATTACTTTGTTCGCTGCCATCCCTGTCGTATTATTCGCAATCCTCCAACTTCCCTTGTATTTTGAAATGGTCGGATCCACCTATTGGCCTCTCCTCTACCGTCCCTTGAAGCTTTGGGAATAATCCTGGCTTATTAATAGACAAGGACATTTGTGATGATCTTTGTTTGCACTTGTTTGTATGTGTGAAATGCGAATATTATGGTGTTTACTCATGTTTTAAGACTTTTCAACTATGACATCAGCCATACTTAAACTAAAGTTTTATGTATGCTGTCAAGTGCACACCTTCTGTCAATGTGTTTTTTGTAATACTTCATTGCTCATTGTCGGATTAAAGTGAACCCAAATTTTCAAAGAATTGGCAACGTGGCCATCAATATTCATCCATTCAAATAGAGCAACGATCCACACAAATTCTCCATACTACACAAGATGGCCATCGATCCCATCATGCTCTGCTTCTTCGCCGCCGCGTCCCTCTCTGCGCCCAACCCTTCGTGCTACGTCACCCAGCAACCATGCGCGGTGCACATCAGCGTCAACACCACCAACTCCATCAGCAACATAGCCATCAAAACCCCGCACTCCAGCCTCACCAGGACTTTAGCCGCTTTTGGGTTTCTCTGTGATCTCAGCAGCGAAAGGCCTGACGTTTCCTTGGTGAACAGCGCCAGGACGCTAAGCACCTGGCCGGACAGCGAAGCGAGGAAGATTCAGACGTGGGTTGTGAAGCAGAAGCGAGTGAGCTGGGAATAGAAGCCCACAAAGAGGAGACGAGCCACATGGACAATATTAAGAGGAACATGAGGCCGAGCGAAGTTGGGATATTCTGAGGAGTTATGCAAGCGAAAGATCCTACAGAGAGGATGACCAGAACGAAATTTAAGCAAGAGAGCAAGAGATTCGGGAATGAGCAAGAACTTAGTCAACTTTACCGCAGACATTTTCTTTTTTGTTTATGGGGGTCTACTTGGGTGTTTGTTATATGATGGAGTTGGGTTTTTTGTTGTTCAAATATAATGGGTACTGATGAATGGATATAGAGCAAGAGGTGAGAATTTGAACTTTAAAGAGAGGCAAAGTTCCAAGTTCCATGGAAAGGGCCCTGCTTTACTTATTTCTCGTCTTGGGTTGGTGCAATGGGTGGGCATCACTTATTTCGCTTCCTCCCATGCGTTTCAAAAGCCGAAAGGCACAGAATCGTTAATAAGGCTTATTAAAATATGAGAGAAAATTTCCATTAAAAAAATTGTGAGAGAAGATTTTGAAAGCTTAAGCCCTTTCTCTTTCTACAAAATGACATGAGAATTGTATCAGAGACTAGAGAGAGAGATGACTGAAAAATTGGTTGGTGAAAGTGAAGAAATGAGGGAAGATTCTGAAAGCTTCCCTCCCTCCCTATATGAAAGTATGGAGAATTGTATTGAGAGAGAGAGAGAGAGAGAGAGAGAGAGAGAGAGAGAGAGAGAGAGAGAGAGAGAGAGAGAGAGAGAGAGAGAGGCATGAAAATTAGGATTGTAAAAGTGAAACATTGAGATAGAACATAATGTTGCCCACTAATCAAAAGAATATGTTAGAAAAATATTCATAAAAATGCATATAATCAAGAAAATGTTTTGAGCTACATTTTGCACATCACTTGAATAGGTGCTTGCTAGCATGTCAAGTGCATCTCCCGACTCTAGCAAATGCTAGAAGAATAAAACAAGAAGGAAAACGAGATAAGTTCCATAAAAGCATATGCTAATCTACAGCATTTTTGAAAATAAAGAAGTGATTGCTCAATTGCATGATCAAAGTCGTGTATGAAATGTGCACGAACATCCATGACAAAATATGACGAGAAATGCCTGTTCACCGTTTCAAATCATCTTCCTTGGCATGAAATATATCCCATTGACATTTACTGTACTTTTGTGAAAAATGAAGAGTACAAACAACTGATGAAACGGATTGCATATACTTAACCACCAAAAAACTTCACTTCTATGCATTAACATTATCGGCCTAATTCCCTTAAAAAGGACAATATTTAGGTCCCGTCATAATAATTCTAACCCAAACTTTTTTTTGTTTCATAAAAAATCACTAACTTTCCCTCTGAATACAAATCTTGCACCCGTTAATTTTCCGTCCAATTTTATCGTTAAAAGTGTGACGTGTGTTGACACCTAAATTTTGACTACGCCGCCGAATCATACCATAGAAAATTAGGAATTGGCCGGACCTTAACAATAATATCAATATTGTGCATTCACATTTTTTGTATTTCATCACTAAGAGCATACCATTTTGCATTAAATTCGGTGGAAATAATGTCAAGTTGTGGGAATTGGGATGGACACAAGATAATGGTTGACCAAGAATCAATAGAAAGTCATGGGGAGAATTATAAAAAAAAGTCATAAATCTATTGTAATTGTGTCAATTCAGTCCAAAACACTTTTTTTTTTGCCAATTGAATATCAAACATTTTGCATTTGTGCCAATTCAGTCCATCCGATCAATTTTAATAGGAAATCGCTGACATGGATGCCATTCGTCCTACATAATGTAGTCGGCGCTAACGTAAATGATTTTTAAATAATATTTTTCGAATTTTTTCTTTTTTTCTTTTCTTTCTCTTTCTTTTTTTTTTCTTCCCTTCTTCCTTTAGCCGATTGCTGGCCTTTGGCAAAGCTTGCCCCCTCCGACCTATGGCGTGGGGGCGAGGCTTGCCATCGCTAGGCGGGCGAGGTTGACCTTGCCATTGGCTGGCGAAGGCGAGTCTCGCCAAGCGATGGCACGGTCAAGCCTTGCCAAGGGCAGGCGAGGCTTGCCTGAGGCCGAGGTTGCCTCTGTGTAGTCGTTCGCCATTGCTGAGGCTCGGCGACCAGCTAGAGGAAGAAGGGAAGAAAAAAAAAAGAAAAGAAAGAAAAAGAAAATAATAAATAAATAATTTAAAAAAATATTAAAATATTATTAAAAATTATCACCCAGACCGTTGACGTTGCTCCACAATCTCCGATGACCCTTTCATGACAGTTGGCAATCATCAGAATCCCCTTTGGTGAGCTCAGGCAAGACCCTCATTTTGGTTTGTAGTTTTTCAAGCTTCAAGAAGTCATTTTTATCGGCCACCATCTTAGCTTAGCCATCTCCGAAGCTATGTAGACCTATGCCATGGTCTTAATCTATCATCAACTGTTTTGGGAATTGAAACTACAAGAGCATTGTCCTTCTTGAAGTTGCAAATGGAGACCATTGACAACCTCCATGTCGTGCAGTAAAAGGTCACATGATTAAAAGTGGGCTAACATAGTGCAAACATCAAACAAACAGAAAAACAAGGTAAAATACTGAATTACAATCATGGTGACAAATTTGCTTTTGCCTAGAGTACAATCTCTCTTAATCTTCACCAAACGATCATAAAAGAAGAGGCAAATAAACTTAACTTCTACTATAAATATTAACAAAAGAATCTCATTTATCCACAACAATGCTTAACATATCTTGTGAATTTTTTGATCTCATGCCACTGTACATGTTGGACACTTCTACCTGCACCAAGAGAAGAAACAAGAAAAAAAAGAGAGTAAAATCGCCCATTATAAAGAAAGGGAACTGATGCACCTAGGGGACCGGCGGACCTGTCATGCGACTGGACGAACCGGCGGGCTTGAAGTCAATGATGTCGGATTGAGCTCAAATTTGATCGGCTAAAGCGAAACGGCGTGCTGATCAATACTCATAGCCTTTGGCTATGATTAACGATGAATTTTCGCGATTCGGGGTCGTTTAGATGGTTTTTTTAATTATTTTAGTAATTTTCGAATTAAGGGTATTTTTGTATTTTTTGCGTTTTTTTGTCATTAGAGTTAACACCCTTTATAAATTCGTTTTTAGGGTTTTGAGAGGCAGTAGACTTTGGATATTTTGATTGTTAATCGATTGAGAGAACAGTTTGTTCCTCGTTATCTTTCGATTCTTCTGTTTAGCCTAATTTCTATCGCGCTTCGGCATCAGGAACGGGATAAGAAACAGATGACATGAGGAAATAGCAAGAAAATCAATAAAAACTCAATAAACCTACTCTCGAATTGCAAATTACTGAGGTCCATCACTCAACATCTTTTCACCACTACCACGTCGATATTGATAAAAGGAATGAACTCTGATCAGATCAGTGATTTACGAAAAAATAAGCAAAGCAAAGTTTGCTATCAAAAGAAATTTTTTGGTAGATCACTGCCCGACTAGAGGTACATCTCTAATCACTTTGCTATAGAGCCTTTCTTTTGCTTTTGTGAATGATAAATTTGATGGAAATCATCTATATTTATAGCCTATGATTCACTCGTTACCAGAATAAGAATAGTGTCGTCGACCTATGCACTTACATTTCGCCTCATTGGATAATATGCCAACCTAATTATCACTCAAAATGGGTTGGATTCGTTGCCAATCATACAATGTCAAATATTTGGTTAGGTTTTAATTCCTATCGATTCTCCTAATTAATTGCTTAGGACTCACTGGTTATCAGAATAAGAATAGTGCCGCTGATATATGCGCTTACATTTAATCACGTTGGACAATATGGCAACCTAATTGTGAGTCAAAATGGGTTGGATTAGTCGCAAATCATACGATGTCAAATATCTGGTTGGGTTTTAATTCATGTCCATCCTCCTAATTAAATGTTTATGACTCACTCGTTACCAAAATAAGAATAGTGTCACTGACCTATGCGCTTACATTTCATCGCGTTGGACAATATGCCAACCTAATTATGACTCAAAATGGGTTGGATTAGTTGCCAATCGTACAATGTCAAATATTTGGTTGGGTTTAAATCATGTCGATCCTCCTAATTAAATGTTTATGACTCACTTATTACCGTAATAAAAATAGTGTCGCTGACCTATGCGCTTACATTTCATCACGTTGGACAATATGCCAACCTAATTATGACTCAAAATGGGTTGGATTCATTGCCAATCATACAATGTTAAATATTTGGTTGGGTTTTAATTCATATTGATCCTCCTAATTAAATGATTAGGACTCACTCGTTATCAGAATAAGAATAGTGTCGCTGATCTATGCGCTTATATTTCATCACGTTGGACAATATGCCAACCTAATTATGAGTCAAAATGTTAAATACTTGGTTGGGTTTTAATTCATGTCAATCCTCCTAATTAAATGCTTATGACTCACTCGTTACCCAAATAAGAATAGTTTCGTTGATCTATGTGCTTACATTTCATCGCGTTGGGCAATATGCCAACCTAATTGTGACTCAAAATGGGTTGGATTAGTTGCCAATCATACAATTTCAACTATTTGGTTGGGTTTTAATTCATGTCGATCCTCCTAATTAAATGCTTATGACGCACTTATTACTATAATAAGAATAGTGTCGCTGACCTATGTGCTTACATTTCATCACGTTCGACTATATGCACTTACATTTCATCACGTTGGACAATCTACCAACCTAATTATGACTCAAAATGGGTTGGATTAATTGTCAATCATGCAATGTCAAATATATGGTCTGGTTTCAATTCATGTCGATCCTCCTAATTAAATGCTTTCCAAGTTGGTGACTATAAGCAAGCAATCATCGATTTCGTTTAACGTTAGGGCAGCATTTTTATCAGTCGCAAGTGATGAAAGTGCGAAGAAACTCACTCCATTCCAATTTTGACATGTAATAGGCATGAAAATGGCCATGCTCTTGATCTATCATCATCGATTTTATTGTTCTCAATTCCAAAATGGCCATGAAGTCTAAGGCCAATATAATGTGTCCATTTTGTCACGTCTTGGTAATTTTTACTCCCACGGGTATTTTCTAGGGGGAGATGAAGAGGGTTTCTCCCTTATTCCCTCTTTACTACTCTTGTATCATTTAGCACATCGATGTCAGAGCACTAAATCGATATTAGCTAACCATAAGCAAAATATATTCTTTTTAAACACTAGCAAAAGGGCACAAACAAGTGTGAGAAATTTTTTAGAAAACAGCTTACATGATTTGCTTATTTAGGGGAAAAATTAAAATCTAAAATGTAGCTGTGATTTAGGGAGTACGATGGACTTGTGATGGCCCTTTCAAATTGCAATTATTGAGTATAGTCATTTTGTGCAATGTTTGAGGTTAAAAGATCGTTTGAATGTGCTTTATAATAAAGAGAGAAAATGAAATAAATTATTTTAAGCCCTCTTTAAAAATACAGTTTTATGTGACGCAGCGATAATTGATAAAAGGAAAAAGTAACAAACAAAATCGGTTCAAATTAAGTTTGAATTATTATCAGGGTAGTTGACCTTGGGGTAAAGTCATCACCTACTTTCTACTTGAGCATAAGTACGTTTTGATGCTAGCATTTTGGAGAGGTTACATTGATGGACTCCTCGAACTTTCGAGTCTTAGGTGGTGGAGAGTAATTATGACTCAATCCGAATATTTTATGACGGGTGTCTGATAGGTTTTTGTCGTCTCCTAACTCTTATATTCATGTGGGGAGGGGGGAGTGACCCAAAAAATTTTGGAGGAAAAAGTGAGTTTTTAGCCATTGTCTTAATCGATGAACTGGGCTTAAGGTTTAAATTATGAAGAAAATAGATGAAACCAAAAACTAAACTTTCAGTCATGGAGATATCACTAACAGTAGCCGTGGCTGGTACACAACCCCACTTTATTAAGAGAAAGTCGAACGCGATGTAAATCCGTCATTTAAAAAAAAAAAACTTTATAACCACGTTGAAATGTTTCACTAACCAAACAAATTGATGTAAAAAATCGCCATGAATATGATCATACGATAGGAGAATTGCAGATCACTAAATTTCACTAGGCCCACGGTTTGTAGATATGGATCGGAGCCCATCAACCCAAATAATCATCATAAACCTCAAAAAACCCTCGAATGAACGGCGAACACCAATTGAAGCAACGTTTAATCAAATCCAGGCCAAAGCAAGGCAAAGCAACTACACACGGTCTAAACTGAAGCTCGCTGCAATGTCAAAGATTGAGACCTTCAAGACTTCGTGAAATTTCATGGCCTGCTGTTGACAGCTACCGGGTTGCAACAGTTGCTACACGGGCAGCTTTTCAAGAAGCTGTCGACCGACACCTTTGACGGAAACGCATGCTTCCAAATTGAGCTATGCGAGGATGGGCATCAGAGTGGGCTCGTACTCACTTCGGACTTCATGGGCAAAGAGTCCGACGTCTTCCTCGTCGACCATGCTTGGAATTTCCGGCTCTCCCGTGCGTCCAAAAGCAGGTTCTTGATTATCTGTTTTGACCCATGTTCGGTTTTTCTTTGCGAAATAGTGGAACTGGGCATCGGATTTTTAAGTCTATGTAATGACAAATCTAGTGTTTTGACCGTTGAATTGTGATTGGAGAATGTAAATTGAGTTTGGTGGAAGGTTGATGAGACCTCTGTAAATTGTTCGTGTAACAAGTTTGAAGTCGGTATGATTTCGTGACAGCCCCTTGTGGTTTTTTCTTAAAATTTTAATGATAGTGGTAGTGTACAAGAGAATCATTTCGATGGTGACATGTTCTTTTTGCCTATAATATGCAAAATAAGTTTATTCATGAACTTTTTTTTTATCATTGAAACATGCTAGGCAGCAATCGGAATAAGTTCGTGACACTTCCTCAAGCCTCGAGTAAATTTTTATTTCTATTGGCTAGTTCACCTGTAAATCCTGCCGGGTTTTCTTACTCTAACAGTGAGGAAAACTTGAGTGAGAGAATCTTAGGACTGCTCAGTCACAGTTCTTGTGCTTTCAGCACAGACATTGTCTGATTTGTGCAAATATGGATACTTCTTAAATGACAAAGTTTGATGGTGTAACACCCAATCTGCCCTATCCAATGGCCTGTGACAAGACTAAAGGCAGACTTCATTTGGCTAATCCACAAATCTGAAGTCAACGAGACTCGAAAGTTACCTGTAGATAGAATTTACCCAAATTATGCTCTTTTCACCTTAACAAATTTGTTCACGTCCTAATAAAATAGTAACTTGCCGACTTATTCCACATTTTACAAGTGTTTAGTCAACTATCAACATGCGAAAGAAATTAAGCTAAATTAGTAAGTTGGCGATTTCTTTCGCATTTTATAAGTGTGGTTAGTGAACTACTGACACTATAAAGAAGTTACCAACATTCCAATAAATTAGTAAGTTACCAAGTTCTTTAAAATTTTACTAGTGTAGATAGTAAAATAACGATCCGATAAGAAATTTACCATCATCTCATTAGCTTAGGAAAATCACGATCCTCCACTTTTGCGATCCTCATGCTCCACTTCTTCTCCTCCATGTCCTTCTCTGTGCCCAACCCTTCGTACTCCCTTACCCAGCAACTGTGCACAGTGCCCGTAACACCAACACCACCAACTCTATCAACAGCATAGCCATCAAAACCCCACACTCCAGCCTCACCAGGACTTCGGCCTCTTTCGGGTCTCTCTGTGATCTCAGCGACGAAAGGTCAAGCCTTTCTTTGGTGAACAGCACCAGGACACCGAGCACCTGTACTGCTTATGTGAAAGCAGTGAAGTGATGGCTCATTTGGACGCTCAAAATCGTGTAGGAAACATCTCTTGATAGGATGTGACAACAAATGCCGAAACACCGTCCCAAATCATCTACCTTGACATGAAATAAATCCCATTGATGGCGGCAAGACTTTTGCTTCTACAAATATTTCATAGATGACTGTATATTTAGTAAATGTAGAGAAAAGCTAGGGATGTGAAAATGAAGAGTAAAAACAACTGATGAAACAGATTTGCATAGAATTGTAACACTACAATACTTCACTTATATACATCGACATTGTCAAACAAAAGTGATGAAATATGAAGGCATCAAAACTCATTCTCCACTGCGCCACCTCATCGTCTCTCCCTACGTTCCTGCTTCTCCAGCTGTATACAGAATTCATGCAAACAGTTTATGCTGCAATTAAATATGAATATCTGCTATGAGAAAAACTCAAATCATCAAACCTCTATGATCTGAATGCAAAAGAATATTCTAAAGTCCATGACTCTGAAAAAATTGTAAACCCAAAAATTGTATAATCATGCAACTAAATGGTCAAAAGCATGATAAATAATTCCAGTCTATACCATATCACAAATACGTGTGAACAAAAACAACATTAGACCCCACTACCTGAGAATAAGCAACTTCTGAGCAATACAATTCTTTGCCTAGTAGTACTCATTTAAATGCTAGTAGTTCTAATCTTAATGCAGTTCAAAGGAGCCAACCAATAAACATACCATCTCTTCACCAATATCCTCTAAACAGTATCTGGATAGCTTAAAATGGCTTCCACTCTATCTAGCGATGCTTGCAACCGCCCAGAGTTCATGTTGAATAGTGGCTCATCAGAACCAAGACCCCTGTTACACGAAACACACAACTTGAACCACAGAAAAACTTAATAAAGAAAGTGAAATAAATCATGGAAGCGCATGACCCACACCCATATGTCACTGTATGTTATAATCATCATGCTTTGTCCTAGCAAGATTTTAAAACATGACACCAAATAGTTGATAGAATTAGAACTTGTTTTGGTGTTACAGCTCATCTAGTTTCTTCCGAGAGCAAAATAGTGGAATTGAGAAGGAAGAAACTTACCCCGTGATTTCTGGAAGAACATAATCAGCCCTCCACCCAAATCGAAAATCTACACCTGGACAAAGTCCAAGAGTGGTCTTATTTCTAATTCGAGATACACCATCTCCACCCAAACATGTGGTGAGCTTCCATTTCCAACCAATTGCATTTAACTGAAAATTGTGGCCTACACCAACCTGTAATTTTCAAAGCACACCAAGCTGACTCCCCAAAAGCTTTACCAATTATCGCTCAATTCCCACAGAAGTTAACAGACTTATTGATGATTGAGAATATTCAGCCATGCCAGCACAAAACAGAGGTGAAATCAAAGAAGCCTCAAACCTGAAGATTTAAGAATTTTGTGACAGGAATCTTTTTCGAGAGAATGCGCACATCTTGATGTATAGGTTCATAGACAAACTTCCACCGACGATCTGGGGATAGAGGCTTGAACACAAGCTTTGTTTGAAAATCATTCCTTGGAGCATTGTAAAACTGAATTATAAAAATAAATCAAGAAGTCATAATGAGACTATATTCCATAACTGCATTAACTGAACAAGCAGAGTATAACCAGGCCTTAAAGGCTCCAACAAAAATTTTGCTTGATGGTCAATCCTTGGAGCACTATAAGACAGACCCAAAGTTTCGAGAACCATAAATCATAATGAATCATAGACACATACACAAACATTAAGCACAAATATACTCTTAACTGTTCCACTTAAGCTGAAGTATGGAGAACGAGGACACCAAAATCCAAATATCTGGTGAATTAAAATCGCAGTCAGAGATTATAGAAGAACAAAAGAGACAACAAGAAAAAGAAAGTCTATGTTCATCTACTTCAATATGCGACTTTTACTGACAGAAGCTGTATTAAGTCAATCAGGATGAAGTAGTGAACACAAAGCCAAGCCAAGCTATTGGTTCACAGAAATTATATTGATCAGCATATGTCAATGGATTCTATGCGAATAGCTGTAAGGCTGTAACATCCTGCGTGACAAATCTTATTCAAGTCTGATCAACATGCTCAGCCAAGTGAGGTTCAAACTCATGGAGATCACAAAAAAAAAAACCCTAAAAGTGCTCCCGTTAATCTACTCAACTTCTAACATCTTCACTAATTAAACATCAGTGAAAACTGTAACAAAACCGCTTTTATCTCCCATGAAAACATGGATTGTTATCTGAATAGTTCAACACTCTCTGGATTCTCCCTTACATGGCTATAACACAGAGCCCTAAAATGGACTTCTACGCACCGAAGCAAACGAGAGGGCCTCGAGTATGTATAACTCACGAAGTTGCCACGTCAAATTTTCAGGTCAATCTATCTGAAAACCTAAACTAGATGGAAGCATCAATAAAAATCCTTTAACATTTTAAATTCTCTCCCACGTGCATGTTAGAAGAGTAGTCAGTAATTTAGGCAGCCAGTGCCGCAATCTCTGACATTGATTAAACAGCGAAGTTGTACTATCCGCACACTAAAATATCCAGCACTTGTCTTCAAGACCAAAGAACGAGTATGACGCATCAAATTAGACAGGAACCACGTCCAATATGCACACCCAATCCAAGTCAGCAACATAATAATTAAATTAAGATTGAACAAGATATTCACATCAAAATTGACCCAAGCTTCAGACACCATATGCAGATGACCTCAGAACGAAACATTTCATTCATTTCTTCCAAGCGTTTGGCGAAAACGGTTTGGTTCATCTATCCACAGCTCTCTCAAACAAAATTTAGCCACTAGATCACCCTTTTTCATTCATCCAGGCCAATCATACTTGCTAGAGAACAAACTTCAAATATGTGGCAAAACAAACGCGAGCAGAATTTAGACAAATCAGAAGAGACACCTCCAGATTAACACCGACTCGGATTCCCTGAATTTCTTTCCGAAACTTGAGGAACAACTCGGAGGGCATCAAATTGATGTTGTACAGTTCGTCCCACGAAGTGGGTTCTTCGCCGGCGGGACTCGTCTCCATGTTCAAGCTCTCAACACTGCAAAAATCAATCAAGAACAGTTCTTTATTACAATACAAAAATCGCCAACACATTTCACCCAAGACCCAACTCTCAAAATCGAAACTTCGACACTCATCAACTAATCCGACACTTCTTCGGAGATACTACAGTCCATGTGGAGTCAGTTTTTTGGGTGCCTTGACATGAACGAAGCTGCTCTGCGTCTGTCAAATTCACCTCACAATTCGCATCAAAACAAGTGATAAAGAGTCGAAAGCATACCTTCGAAACTAGAAAAACAGGACCCTGTTGGCGCCTATCGAACTGCTGTTGAATGGCGAAGTAAAAATTTGGGATGAAGGTCTCGCCTACGAGAGGAAAAATGATGGGGGTACCCGGGCAATTTGGGGCTTGCATTGTTTGGATTATATGTACTACGCTAGTACGAAAGAGTTTCGCTGAAAGAAGGAAAATCGTTTTTATTGTGTGAGCTGAGTAATTATAGTGTCTCAACTGGACCAATTTAACTATAAATATGTCAATGGAAACTATCTGCATTTCAAAAAAGGGTTAGGATTAATATCACGAAAAATCACAAACTGATACACATGTGATAAATTTACCTCAAATTAATTTTTTGACAATAAAAAACTCAAACTAGTACATCTGTGACTATTGACAGGTGTACCGATTCAGGGTTTTATCCTCCATTTGTCATATATGTAACAGTTTGTGATTTTTTGTGATATTAATTCAATTTAACGAAGGGTAAACTTGTCACAAATATATCAGTTTTGAGTTTTTTGTGATCAAAAAATTAGTTTTTGGTAAATTTATAGCAAGTGTACCAGTCTAGGATTTTTTATGGTCAAAAAATTAGTTTAGGATAAATTTATCGCAAATATGCCAGTTTAGGATTTTCCGTGATGAGTTAATATCATTAAAATTTTCAAACTGATAAGGCATGACACATTTACTCCAAATTGCATTGCCTCTCCAAAAAAATCACAAACAAGTACTCCACGACACAGTTACCCAAACTAATTTCAATCTTGGAGATATGACTAAGAGTAGCCATGGCCGGCACATGGCCTCACTTTATAAAGAGAAACTCGTACACTATATAAATTCCCTGTTGAAAAAATACTTTATAATCAAGTTGAAACGTTTCACTAACCACACCAATGATGCAATTCGCCATGAATATGATAATACGATAGGAGTATTGCAGATCCACATAATTTCTCCAAGCCCTACGGTTTGTAGATTTGGGTTGGAGCCCATCGACCCAAATCATCGTCATAAACCTCGGAAAAACCTCAAATGACCGGCGAACACCAATTGAAGCAATGTATAATCAATCCCGGCCGAAGGAAGGCAAAGCAATTACACATGGTCTGAACTGAAGCTTGCTGCAATGTCAAATATTGAGACCTTCGAAGACTTCGTGAAAGTTCATGGCTTGTTGCTAACGTGGATGCTAGTGCCATTAACTTGCTATCAAATTTATGTAATGGTCCATCCACATTAGCAATCTCTCTCTTATTAGGGGCACACCATCTAAGATTTAAGGCAATTGCAACCTTTTGGAGGTCACGATCGCATCAAGTTTGAGGTGACGCCCCTTAGAGAGGGACGAAACTACTGTGATGATGGCTAGAGAAAGAGAGAGGCAAGGCGTTGCGGTGGTCATGGTGATGTCGCGGCCACAGGCCAACGACAAGGTAGTAGTGACGAACGACAATGATGATAGTGGTGATAGGCGATGTCAATACCTAAAGAAGAAAAGGGAAAAATAGGGAAAAGAAGAAGAAAAAAACAAAAGACAAAAAATTAATTAACCATACACCACATATGTAAAAATAAAATTTTGAGAAGCTTTTGCTCATTATTGATTTGATTGGTAATGATTGAGTGGGTTGTTATGTATTTGGATGTTTTCTGGATTTGTACCACAAATGGTTTTGACCACAGGACAAGTGGATTGGAAAGATTTTTGATGGAGCACAACTTGCCGATTGAAGTTTTATTAATCGTGTGTTCTTTTTTCAACTTTTGGGTAAGTGTGGATGCGATGCCGAAACGCTAGATCATAATTTGCATAGGCAGGCCAATCGTAATGATTACAATTTTCGGAAGTTCAATTCATCAAATTACAAGCATTAAGATTGAGACATTCTGTCTAATTGGCAGAAGAAATCTCTGATAGTTATTACCAAAAAGAAAACGTTTCACATGGCAAGTTTTAAAAATACTTCAAAATTAAAAATAAACTGGGAAACACACGTCCTTAAATATGGTGCTCAATTAGTACATATTCATATTTTTCTTTCCTTTTCCTTCGCAAAAAAGGATTGAAAATTTATATTAGTGTAGTTTTTACGGAGCTTACAAAAACTCATTTAAGTTTAAACTAGATCTCCAACAAATCACCCATATTTCGGAATTGGAACAACAAGAGCATCGTCCTTCTTGGACGTTGCCAATAGAGACCGTCGATAACATCCATGCCGTGTTATAAAATGTCACAAAATGAAAAGTGGGCACTAACATAGTACAAACATCTAACAAACAAAAAAATATCATAAAATACAGAATTAAAATCATAATAAAGTTGCTTTTGCCTAATTACAATCTCTCTTAATCTTCACCTAACAATCATAAAAGAAGATAAATGAACTTAATTTCTACTATAAGAATTGATACAATAATCTCATTAATCCACAACGATGTTTAGCATATCTTGTGAATTTTTCGATCCTCATGCCACGTACGTGTTGGACACTCCTACCTGCAACAAGGGAAGGAACATAGAGGAAAAAATCACGCACTACAATGAAAGAGAATAGGATAAGAAATAGAAGAACCTAGGGAAAAAACAAGAAAATCAATAAACTGCTCAATAAGCATTCTCTCGAGTTGCATATTACTGAGGTACATCACTTGACATCTTTTCACACTAACATGTTGGTGTGGACAAAAGGAACGAACTCTGATTAGATCAGTGATTTACCAAAAAATAAGCTAAGCAAAAATTGCTGTCAAAAGATATTTTCTAGAAGATCACTGCCCGAACAGAGGTACATCTCTAATCACTTTGCTTGAATAATGCTTTTCTTTTACTTTTGTGAATGATCAATTTGATGGAAATCGTCCATATTTATAGCCTGTAAATCACTAGTTACCTAAATAAGAATAGTGTCGCCGACATATGCGCTTACATAATCATGTTGGACTATATGTCAACCTAATCATGACTTTGGATTAGTTGCTCATAATGCCATGTCCAATAGTTGGAGGATTTTAATTCATGTTGATCCTCCTAAGTAAATGCTTTCCAATTTAAGTTTGATATATACAAGTAATGATTGATTCCGTTTCATATTAAGTTCACATTTTATTAGCTGCAAGTTGTAAGTGTGAAGAAACTCGCTTCATTACATGGATTTGATTTATTCCGGCAATCACAACAGATGAGCGAGCCGAATTGTTCTCAATTTCAAATTGCAAGAAGACCAATAAGAAAGCTTACTTCAATCTTGGTTGAATGTCCATTGAGGACCAGTGGACAACCCAAATTCCTCGCTTGGTAGTGATTGAGGACCATGACCTCCCTTTGATGCATAATTGTTAATGATAATTTACTGATTTTAAAAACATTTCCTTCCTACTTCTACTAATACTATTTTATTCTTTATACTAATTCTAAAGAGATAATTGTTAGTGATAATTTATTGATTTTAAATCATGGGAAGGATAAGTGTAAATGTGATGCCAAAGCGCTATATTATAAATTGCATAGGCGGGCCAATCGTGCTGATTACAATTTTCGGAAGTTCAAATCATCAAATTACAAGCATTAAGATAAAGACATTATGTATAATTGGTAGAAAAGTTCTATAAGATTTATGAGTAAGAAGAAAACGTTTTACATGGAGAGTGTAAACACTTGGTCTTAAATCTTAGGAAATTTATCAAAAATGGTAGAAAATTTAAATCAGTCCAATTTTTACAGATCTTACAAAAGCTCATTTAAGTTTAGATTGGATCTTCAAACAAACCAAACAGGTTTTTGGGAATTGGAACTGCAAGAGCATTGTCTTTCTTTAAAAATGCAAATAGAGACCATCAATAATATCCATTCCGTGTAATAAAATATCACACAACGAAGGTATGCTCTAACATAGTACAGACATAGAAAAAAGAAAAAAAATATCGTAAAATACAGAATTACAATCACGGTAATAAAAAGTTGTTTTTTCCTAGATTACAATCTCTCTTAATCTTCACTAAACGATCATAAAAGAAGACAAATCAACTTAACTTCTACTATTAGAATTAATACAATAATCTCATTAATCTACAATGATGTTTGACATATCTTCAAAATTTTCCGATCCTCGTGCCACATACATGTTGCACACTTCCACCTGCAACATGGGAAGGAACAAACAGGAAAAAATCACTCATTACAATAATAGAGAATTGAATAAGAAATAGAATAACCTAGGGAAAAAACAAGAAAATCAATAAAGACTCCATTGGCATTCTCACAAGTTGTAGATTACTTAAGTACATCAAACGACATCTTTTCACACTACTGTGTTGACGTTGACAAAAAGAATGAACTCTGATCAAATCAAGGATTTCCCAAAAAATAAGCAAAGCAAAAAGTGCTGTCAAAAGAAACTTGTTGGTAAATCATTGCCCGAGCAGAGATCCATCTCTAATCACTTTGTTTGAATAGAGCTTTTCTTCTACTTTTGTGAATAATCAATTTGGTGGGAATCATCCATATTTATAGCGAAATCACTCCTTACCTTAATAAGAATAGTGCCACCGACATATGCGCTTACATAATCATGTTGGACCATATGTCAACCTAATCATGACTTTGGATTAGTTGCCTATAATGTCATGTCCAATACTTGGTTGGATTTTAATTCATGTCGATCCTCCTAAATAAATGCTTTTTAAGTTAAGTGTGATATATACCAGTAATGATTGACTCCGTTTAATATTAGGTTCACATTTTATTAGCCACGAGTTGTAAGTGTGAAGAAACTCGCTCCATTCCATGGTTTTGATCTATTCCGGCAATCGCAACAAATAAGAAGTCGTATTATTCCTCTCCCTAAATGGGAGCTTTTCTCTCCCTTCCATGGGAACTTCTTCCTCTCTCGATTTCATTCTGAGAGTGTTTTCACCTCATCTACTTCATCATCCCCATCTCCTTTATACATTCTCATTTTAATCAGTTCTTCCCTCACCTGACATAACCCATTCCCCATTTTTCTAAAAACCCTAATCCTTCTTTTTCCCTTCATTTCATTCACTTCCACTGACTTCTTTATTCATCTCTATCATCAACTTCGCATTCTGCTTCTCTTCCACCCGTGGCGTTTTGAGCTCCCCGCAATCGTCTTCTCCAACCCATCATCTAAATTTCTTTCGTCCAAACCGCGACCATCCCCAGTGAGACCACCTTCTGTCT